TTATTGGTGATATTAGTCAAGGCGTTGCAACTCGACTTAATTTAAAGGATGCTTGTCTCAACATGGCGTTTGTATCTCAAATTGAACCATCAAAGATCGATGAAGCTTTAAGCGACGACCAATGGATTATAGCAATGCAAGAAGAACTTAATCAGTTCGAAAGAAATCAAGTTTGGACCCTTGTACCAAGACCGGACAATAAGCATATTATAGGAACCAGATGGGTGTTCAAGAACAAACTTGACGAGAACGGGATTATAGTTCGTAACAAGGCAAGATTGGTCGCACAAGGCTACAACCAGGAGGAAGGAATTGATTTTGATGAAACATTCGCTCCGGTAGCAAGGTTAGAAGCAATTAGATTACTTCTTGCTTACGCATGTTCTATGAATTTTCAGTTATTCCAGATGGATGTCAAAAGCGCTTTCCTGAATGGATACATTAATGAGGAAGTCTACGTCAAACAACCTCCGGGTTTTGAAGACTTCAAAAATCCCTCACATGTTTTCAAACTGAAGAAGGCTCTCTACGGTTTAAAACAAGCACCACGAGCATGGTATGATCGCCTTAGCAACTTCTTATGTGAGAAAGGATTTACAAAAGGAAAGGTTGACAAGACGCTGTTTATAAAGAAGATCAAGGGTAACACCTTGTTAGTACAAGTCTACGTCAACGACATCATATTTGGATCAACAAACAAAGAACTGTGCGAAGAATTCTCACTCATGATGCGAGAAGAATTCGAGATGTCCATGATAGGAAAGTTAAATTATTTTCTTGGACTACAAATCAAGCAAACCAAGGATGGAATCTTCCTCAACCAATCCAAGTACTGTAAGGAATTAATAAAGAAATTCGATATGGATAGTTGCAAGATGATGTCTACTCCTATGGGATCCGGAACGTATGTTGATCAAGATGAATCTGGTACTCCAGTTGATATTACTAAATATCGAGGTATGATTGGTTCATTACTATATTTGACGGCAAGCCGTCCTGACATTATGTTTAGTGTTTGTTTGTGTGCGCGCTTCCAAGCAAATCCGAAGGAATCGCATCTCACTGCTGTGAAGAGAATTATCAAGTATCTCAAAGGAACGACCAACGTTGGAGTATGGTATCCTAAAGGTAGTATTTGTTCTTTAGTTGGTTATTCTGACGCTGACTATGCAGGATGCAAAACCGATAGAAAAAGTACAAGTGGTACATGTCATATTCTCGGAAATGCTCTAGTATCATGGGTCTGCAAGAAGCAAGCTTGTGTAGCACTCAGCACCGCCGAAGCAGAATACATCGCCGCAGGAAGTTGCTGTGAGTGTATGCGAAGGGGGTCTTACGTCGCCTTTACTCAGTCCACACGAACAAATTTCTTCAGTCTCAGTGCTAGCTGCTGCAATTGAAGGCTTTGAGTGATAGAGAGAGAGAAGGAAAAATACGGGTAGGGTTTCACAGTCTGAATTTTCATCAAGAATGTATGCTTTTGTACAAGGGTTCTATTTATAGAACCACTTGTGTGGGCTGCAAGCTAAAAAATTCACTTAAGTGTATGCGAACAATATCTTATGGTGCATCGTATATCACCTAAGTGTGTGGTACCTTACCACATTCCGTATTCTACTTAAGTGCATCGTACCTTACGGTGTTCTACATTTACTTAAGTGTATCGTACCTTACGGTGTTTCTTATTTTCTCTACCTCTTATCAATATGTTTTTATGTGTGTGACCCTGTAGGTTTTCGCAACATTGGTAATTATATTAAATCACAAATTTAACATAATTAACAGTGAGAGGTATCTAGCAACACATCATTGTTATCCAAATCACGATAATGTTATGTGATTTGACAAAACCTTTTGTGATAGTACTTGTGTGTAAAATTACCCTTTTGCCCTTATGTCTATATTGAACACAAGGCATATACCGTGTCATCTGTGTATAATTCTATCTAGGTCACTCATGTCCCTCAGCATGCTTTGTGGAGTACTCATCAACTGTCTTTATGGTCATCTTGTTACGGACAATGTTAAATCAACAATAAAGTACTCGACTCTACATCTAGGATCCATAATGGTTTCAGGTCGAAGGAAGGTATACACCACTATCACCATGAGAGTAACTTATGACACTTTGCATAACATTCTATGTAGTACTCTCATAGCGGGCTAATACAATATAAATATTACTCCTAATATTTATACATATGTTAAGACTTGATACCTCCTTATCCATGATACATGAGATCTGATCATCAGTCTATCTACATAATAGTCTTAATGCTTTAAGGTTATCCCACTTCACAGTAAAGCTCAACTACGGATACTTTAAGAATAATGTCCTTATGTTTAACGTGATCTCATGATTAAGTCACACTTAATATTTCATTAAAAGAACTAGCTATTCTAGAGACTTTATTATCTTGGAAAAACAAACATAATAAAGAAATGTCTTTTATTATTAACGAATAATTTGATACAAGTATCAAAATTAAGGGCCTCTAGGGCTTACACCAACACCTCCCCCTCATGATAAGCAAGGAGAGGTGCCACTTCTGATTTATGATGCAGGATTGTCCGATCCAAATTTACATGTGTTTCTTCCATGTTTCATCATTATCTCCAGTGTGTCGGTGCTAAGGAGGATGACCCACAATTCGTTGAGTTATTTGAAGCATTGCACATTTGTCGTAGTAGTTGACTTATATATTTTTGAGAATTATTTGAGACTTATGTATGCTTTTGAGACTTAATGTCATTAAAATCTAACAACATATTACATAGAACTATGTTAAGCTAACAATACTTAGTACCACATGCATAATGTATTGTCACAGGCAAACGGGACGGGAAACATGATAATAATAGGCGATATAAAGAAAATGTTTGACAAAGCCAAAGGGCTCTGGGCCAAACAGCTTCACAAAGTATTATGATCATATCACACCCCCATTCAACTACCAAAGAAACTTCGTTCACTATAGTATATGATTTTGACACCATGCTACCTGTTGAAATTGATACGCTTACATGGAGGTGTTCTCCATTCAATGAAGAGGAAAATGAGGCAGGACTTAGATGTGCAGATGACTTTATCAAAGAAAGTCGCAATGTTTCTCATATCATAGAATTTTACGTCAAACATAGGGCTGCCAGAAGGTACAACTCTAAAGTGGTCCTAAAGGAAGTGCAACAGGGTGACCTCGTGCTCATGCAGGTTGTCGTATTGGCTCACCTGCGGAAGCTATAGCCTCATAGAGAAAGTGCATACCGTGCATATCAAAAGTTATCTCATGGAACTTACAAACTCGAAGAGTTAGATGGAAGACTCATTTCATGTAAATTATTTTGTTAGCATCTTCCCACAAAGTGGGGAATCTTAAAAAGGAGGCTCATTGTTGAAATATGACATGTGGATCCTCGAAGAAGAATCATTACCACCTTAGAGACAATATGACTACTAGACCCTCAAAGAGAATTCCTTGTAATCCTTATAGGAGATATGACTGCTAGAACCCCACTAGAGAATCCCTTCCTAAAGAAACTCAAGCAACACTTGAAGGACTCACCCTCAACAAGAAATGCACTAGGTTCAAGCAACGTGAAAAATGAACGCAAAGGAATCCACAGAGGGTGAGAGGATGAAAAGATGAATAGCTAACAAAAGGTGCACATAAGCATCAAATACTGCAACACTTGATGGACTCGGCCTTTAAAACAACACTTGAGGGATTCGGCTGTGAACAAGGTTTAAATGCTTGATAAGCTCACCTTTATAGAGTCTAACTTGAGGGACTTGATTATTTAAGTTTTGTCTACTAATAGATTACCTTCTTTCTGGAATTAAATCACTTCACCCTCTCTGAGACCTCGTGCTTAAGGGATTGTGCATTGGAATAGTTTTGTTATGCCTAAAAGAAGGTAATCCAAAGGCAAGCCACACTGGCGTCAGACGAGCACAAAGTTAGCATCAGAGGTTGTCCAAAATTGTGTTTTAGGTTGTCCACTGGACGTAACACTCGTCTATATTAGACTTGAGCCCGTCTGTCTCTCACACTTATAAAACATTGAGAGTGATGTGTTTTTACACATGTGTGTATAGAAAGATCACTCAAGGGAGGGAGCCATGGTCCCCATGATAATAAGAGGAATAATTGTTCCCACATCCTACATTCCGAAGAAAAGATAGAATAACCACTTCTTGAGTCTAAAAATTCAGATCTAAAAAATCTCTATAATTATCTTAGATCTTAGTCTTGATCTCTATGATTATCTTAGATCTTAGTCTTGAAGGATCTTTCTTCACTCAAAAACCATACATATACATAGTTTTTCATCACTATGCAAGAGTTCGATCTAAACACCATAAACAACCTAAATAGTAAATACCATAGACAACCCTCCAAATATAGTATTACCGATTATCCTTATTGTATTTTTTAAATGGTACAATATATAATATTTATCATATTATTTTAAGATAAAGTCGTAAAAACTAACAAATCTATGCCTGAAAAACTCGAGTTTGGAAAGCTCTCAGAATTTTAGAGAATTTTAAATAAATTTCAAATCATTCTCACCTCTTATAAAATACATACTCAAATCAAAGAAACTATTACTCAAATATTCTTCTATTATCATCTCCAAAACCATATCAAAAACAGCAAAAGAATATTTTAAATATCGAACAGAATATAATTGAAACATTTAAATATTCTTACATCATTCAATGAGAACTCACTCCCAACTTAATTTATTTGGGTGAGGATCTAAAACTTGCTGATCTAAATCCTCCAAAATCAATTTAAAAAAGACTAGTTAAAACTAATTTTATCTACACTTCTACACTTGATTAAAGGCAGACGTAGAATAAGTTCACATAACCAATCTTTGCTTGTATTTGGCTTCTATTAATCACTTTTTCCATTTCTTCTTTGCTTTAGTTCTCTTATAAAGCTTGAATTTTGCACACTAAGCTTTGAAGACATATATCTTGTTTTAGTCCTTTAACTAGATGTGTTGTTTTTACTAGTGCCAACCCAATACTCTTTAACAATCACCAATATCTTCTCAGGCACAAGTGGACCATCCTCATGATCCATCATTTTAGCTTCCCATCTCATGCCTCCAACAATTTTGTTAACCTTGTTAAGGACATCTACTTCGTCGCGGATTATGACTGATCCTTCGGGCCTCAATACTCGGTCCATCTCTAGAAGGATGTCTTCTAGGTTGCACCTGTTAATCAAATCAGCATTACTTTGGTTATATTATGTCTGAATTATGTCGAGACTGATTATCTAGAACGTACTTATGACGGGTGGCCCAATGAATTTTAGACAGACCGACTCTGATAACATCGTAATCGTGGAATTTAAGTTGAACCTAACTCTGAGGACCGTACAACACTTGTATAAACATTTTCAAGTCTTATCTCACCAAATGTGGTTTGAGTTACCAACTATCATCAGAGCCATCTTTGAAGCCGTGCAAGGCGGACTACCACACAAGGTACAAAATGTGTCATGATTGAATCATGGCTAAATAAGACCTCACAATATATAGTCACGGTTAAATCATGCTTAAATAGTCTCTATTTATTTTTCCATGACTAAACTGTACCTCAACTACATAAGATCTCCAAAAACTTGAGACGGCTCTGACTATCACTATGAGATTATGATGATTTGTGAATGGAAAAGGAAGAAACTTACTTGTCCTGGTACAAACTAAATAAACCATTAGCATGAATAAGATCATATGTCCTTGGGTATGTAGAAAAGCCTTCACACCTAAAGAAAGAAAAATAATGTCATTGCGATTTCATACCAACATTTTTGCGAGTATAGGAAAAACTGACTTGTAAGGAAGTCGTCGCAAAATTAGAAAATTTAATGAAATATGAAAATTTTAGAAACTTACCAGTCATGATAAATGCCAATCAAACCTCTTTCGTATATAATACCTAAAGTGTTGTCAGCAATTGTGGGGACAACGTTCATCACCCAAGATTTTTGTGATTCAAGTGCAGCTGCAAATCCTCCAAGGCCTGCATTCATGTCCATCAAATTTCGATATCTAGTGGTACCGATCAATCTATTAATTCTTTTGTAATTGGTAACACGCTTTTTCCATAATTTGTTATCCTCTTGATAAGATTCAGTTTTTACGCCTGGAACAAGGCCTTTAGCTATTCGAGGAGGAACTGCGAAAAGCCTAGCAGGAAACTTCTTCAATTCCCCTCCTGCAACTTCAGTTTTGCTGGTTACCTCAGGGATAGGGGTTTTGCAGGCTTCCATCTTTTTGTACCTACGATTGCAAATTTCGGAGCATAGAGAAAAGTTATTCATGAGCACATCATAATCCCAAATTGTGGAACCATAAGAACAAAAATTATTTAAATCCTTCCAACTATAAACGATTGTAACGGTCCAGATATTTGAAAGATGCGTGTAAAGATGAGCAGGACTTACCAAACGTCATCAGCATTTTCTAAATCGCATAAATCGGGAGACTTTCTTTGACAGGATTTAGCATTTATTTTCTTCCTCCAGATAGCGATATCACCCTTTTCATACTTCTTTTCCCAGCAAAGACTTTCGGCTAAATCCTCAATTTTTTTCTGCTCTGCCTTCAGATCCTCCTTCGATCGCTTCCAGGTTTGGTAGTACGTTTTCCAATTAATCGGAGGGCCAGACAAAATCCAATATCCACCAGGCCTTAAAACCCGATCGACTTCCTTTAGCTGCATGCCATCTGCATTAAATTGAGTAGAAAGTGAACAGGTTAATTTTCCTAAACATCGTTTTACTCAGATTTTTAAATATTCTCCTTCCTCGAGCGTATCATCATCTACATTTAAAAAATGCTAATAATACCATATTCTAGATTAGATTTATAACACTAACCATTTGAAGCCCATGGTATTAGACATCGAGAACACTGAGCCATATCAAAGGCTCTTGATGGGAATGGAAGACGGATTGTACCAAGAACTCCAATAATAGCAGGTACCCCTCGTTCCAGTGCAAACTGAACTTGTGCTTCGTGGTTATCCTTTGGAGCAAAGGACATAGCAATCACGTTTCTCTTTAGCAAATATGCTCCCCAGCTTGCAACCTGAATAATTGTTCACAGCTTATATTGTTAGAGCGATCAAGAAACAATTGAAAGGTACCTTCTAAAAGCAAGTAAACCAGCCACCAAGCATTAAATACAAAGAAACGGCAAAGGATTATTCAACATGAAAACTTACTCCGCAACCAGTGTCCAACGCTGTTCTGACAGTACCATCTGCAATTGGAATAACCGATGCAAGTTCATCAATGTAAGCATCTGCTCCTTGAGGGAACATGGTTCCTCCACCTGGAAATTTGAACACATTTCCTTGAAACTGCACCCAGTTTTGAACAGCCTTCTCCACTGTCAAACTCTTATACGGTACATTAGCATAGTAGACATAATCACGGCTTTTAGGCCAAGGAAAAGGAGACGTATACCCATCAGGAGCAGGAATAAGGCAACGCAACTTCTCCTCTTGAGGCGGACAATGTCTTTCCCTATAAATCATATTTTCTCTCGGGAACGTCATTGCCCGATCTTGCTCTTGGCAAGGTGTATAATCAGTATATTTTACATCACACGCTTTAAACTTTTTAGCTTTTGGTTCAGATGATTCAACAATATCTACATATTTATGACGGGGTTCAAAACTCAAATTCGGCACAATGTTGCAGTCTGTATGCATCTTATTTACCTTCAACGCAAGACTATCTCCCTTTCCAGAACCACTTCTTTGCCATGCTCCCAAAAGATAAAACGTACAACACAGAGCAAGCACAGCGAAAATTGACAAAGGCCTCCGTGATCTGTTGCCCGGCGGGGCATTTTTAGAACCCATTAACTCGTCGGTTTTCTCTCAAACTTCTTTCGAACTATCAAATCTACGAAAGTTCACATTGAAATGAATCAGTCACAAGTTACATTAGAAGTAGATCATCACAAATCAAGCAAACCACCAACATTGAACAATTGAAAAATAATCATCTAAACTTAAAGTATTTAATGCTAACAGAAAAAAAATATTACATGCATAAACTTGTTATCAAGTGTAGATCTTATATTTTTCTATAAATAGAAGAAATGTGAACATGCATACAAAAGACACAAGAAACTGATTCAAGGGGTTTGTTACTAATAATACACAAAGACAAAGTGTTGAAAAATAATAATTTCATATGATTTTGTCTAATATCATAGAATCCAAATAGGTACTTAAAAAATAAGGTGTATAATTGTAGTACACAGTACAAAACTCCATTAACCCCAAATCTGTCTGGTTTTGGTGGATCAGATAAAGATCTACTAGAAATGAATAGTGTAAACATATTGAATTATAAGCAAAACGATAAAAGAAAAGCACAGCAGCATATAAATATGAAATCTAGAGTGAGTTAAAATGAATAACCTTGTAAAAAGAGTAGAGATCCCAGAACTGGTGGTATAGTATAGTAGATCACACTAGAGAGAGAGTGAGAGAGTAAGTGAAAAGTGATATTAGTAGTGAGATGAGATGGGAGAGGGGACAGAAGACGAGTGTTGACAGTTGGAGTGCATCAATTTAGGCGATTGACCATTGTGTTTTGTAGATTTTATCCGCCGACAGGGTCATTGTGTTAGGGAAAAACTCATTAGTATAAATTCTACAGCACAAACTTTAACCAACTAGATCATCATTTGTTGCTCAATCTTTGTCATTATAGGTTTCAATTAATTGCGTATTTCGTTAAGAATGTATTTGCAACTAATTCATTCCTTTACATTTATTATAATTTCAAAGTTAATTTAAAAAAAAAAAAACTCTAGTGTGTTTTCCGGTTAATGTGACCTTGGTAATATATATTTTAGCCGGAAGAAAAGGAAAATTTGACTAAAAGTATAATTGAATTCGAGTGCTTCTTAATAATTATTCCTTCAGTGAAACCCACTAAACCTTAAACCCTAAACCTTAACTGAGTGTAGTCATTGCATTATTTAAAGGTAGATTAATTACATTTAATAGAATACAGGATATGTTATCGGTGCCGAATGGCCGACCATGGTAGAATACAGTGCATTTTTTAAGTGAGAGCAAAAAATTATTATATTAAAAGTGATCTGACCTGATCAGAAGAGGATCACGGGCTGCCTATACGTCGTTGGAATGCCACCTGTTCACCGGTGATGAGGAGTTGGGCAGAGCGAGAGCAAAATACAGAAAAAAGGGTAAGAAGTGAATATCTAACCCTCTTGAGTAAGAGGGTATTTATAGAGGGACCCCAGCGCTGGGCCAACGGTCACTTGCGTTGGGCTGGACTGTCAGGCCCACAGTCCAGCCCAGGTGACTGCTAGGGCTTACGTGGCGTAGTGAAGATCAGGACGGGGTCTTCGCCCTAGTCCAACTGCTCCTTGATCTCCGGAAAGTGGGTTTGACCTGCTCTTCCGGAGGTGGGCAGTTGGTTGATGACGTGTCCCCGCGGAGGGGGGCACGTGGAGAGCGTGCGGCTGACACGTTGTTCTCCCCGTGGAGGGGAGCTCGGGAGGTTCCCCGAAGGCGCGTTGTTCTCCCCGCGGAGGGGAGCACGCGAGGACGCGGAAGAGCCATGTGGTCTCGTCCGATGGCCCGAGGGCGTTCTGTTCGGCTAAAAAGGGGCGCCGAAGACGCTTCAGGACGTGCCGTCTTGCTCGACGGGGAGCGTATCCTGCCCGTCCTAGGGGGGTGTGTGCCCGGTCAGGCTATTCCACTTAATGGGCTTTGTGCGTTATTGGGCTGGGCCCAGTCCAGAACAAAAAGTATTTATAAAAAAAGATTATATTAATTTAACACTATCATGAGCTCTTCTTGTAGCAGAGCTTGTATGTTGTTTTTCTTGATGTCCTGTGTGGTGTTTATTCATTTATTTTTATGTTGGATGCAAGTGTGAGTAGTTTATAAATAGATGAAATGTTGGATTTGTAAGAGATATGACTCGTTTATCTAATACCTTAAAGTTTTGGGTTGAAATGTGACTTCTACCTCTTTTGTGGTTCCGAAACATTAGTCTCATTGGTGTTTTCAACTTTCCGGGACTTTCCAACAGTTGTATCAGAGTCGTGGTTCGGCTTGGTGGGAGCAGGAGCTAGATCTAATGTGGATCCTGTTATAGAATGTGGGAGACTCACACTTGTGGGGAGAGAATGTTGGGTGCACTTGTGGGAGAGAATGTTGGGTGCAAGTGTGAGCACATCGCTTAAAGGTGTGCAAAATATCCGATTATTAGGCCCAAATCCATAACCAAATCTAAATCCACTTTAAATATCGGGATATAATTTTTGAATTGGTTTATTTATTAATAGTTAGTTGTCCAACCATATTTTATTTTTGGATCCAGTTATAATTCAATTATTATTCTAAATCTAAAACTAATTCGAATGTTTAAATTTCATTCATAAATTTTATTAAATGCATACGATAAAATACAATTTCAAATCTAATTTATAAATAATTTCTAATTAACTGTAAAATAGAATTTCTTAATTTTATAATACTGACCCAATTTATTTGTTCATAATATTAATCATTGAATATTTATCTTGTATTTTTTTTATTTATTTAGTTTCTTTGAATTGAAATGTCTTCACCACAATACTTATGTAGTATTTCATAAACATATTACTCAATTAAGTTTCAACTTAAATCCAACATAATTTAATAATCAATTTAACTTTTTACATTTAAAGTATTTGAATCGTAGTAATAAATGTAATGATCACTAATAACTAACACAAGCATACAAAATTGTTTTTAGTAAATCTGTACACATTACTTAAAATCAATTTCCCCCCCTTAAAATACAAGTTTTAAAAATAAATAAAAACCAATTTTAAGAAACACCTGGATTTTAAATAAAAAAGTAATTTGTTTTATATTTATAAATAAATAGTTTTAAAATGTATTTTTATAGAAAAATCGTCTAAAATCGGATTTATAAAAGAAAATAGGTTATATAACCATAATTAAATTTATAACCAGTTTTACATTTGGTTTTGCTTGAAATGTGGTTATGGTCATAAATCCAAACCATCTAAATGGTTTAAAAATGGTTATGGTTTGGTTTTTAAAAATAACCAACCATGCACACCCATAGTACTCAGCTTGAATTAAGGATTAGTCGATGTTACAACAAGCTTTGAATTCGACATACCAAACTTGTCAAGAATCTTCAATAGGTATTGTAATACCCTAATTTTTATCCGTAAGATCCCACATATCATTTGCATCATGCATCATAAACAAGATCACCAAACACATGTGTGTTTTCTTTGTTTGCTTTTATTTGATTGTTCATGTTTACTAACCTTAATCAAAATACTAAAAATATGTTTGTTTTCCTTTTACTAACTTTTTCAGGAAGAAGTTTGAAATCAAGAACATCAGATACCAGTTCCTTAGCTCAAATGAAATTCATCTGAACAAAGTCAAAGTTGATATGCAAACAATTCAAAATCATTTGATCAAGAGTTTCCCAATGTTTGATTGTTTATTGCTCAAGAGACTCTAAGGTTCATGTGTTTATTTTCATGTCTTCTTTGACAAGTTAAAAGAACCGAGTTGGAGCCAAGACAACACAGCAAAAAACCATTTTCTCATTTTTTTTCATTGTGTTAATCGATTAACCAAAATATGCCTAAAAATGGTTAATCGATTAACCAATGCGTTTTTTTGACTAAAAACATAATTTTCAAATTTTGCAGTATTATGACATCAAAATTCACTTGTTTCATCATGAGAATATTTTATATCACCTCATTTTAATTCCCTTACCTCATCATAATTAATTCTCATCATACACCCTCATTAATCACCACTTGATCTTGATTTTGCCTCCAAATCCAATTTTCAAGTCTAGATTAAATTCCAAACCAAATTCCAAACCACCAAAATTTCCAAGCCTAAATTCTATAAATAGAGGTCTCATTTCATTCATTTTTGAAGCTTTTGATAGCCAAATTCACCTTACTAAAATTTCTTTCAACTCCCTTCAACCACCAAATTCACCAAAGCTCTTTCTTCCATTAAAAGTTAGTAAGCTTTTCATTGAAACTTACTAACCTTTGAGCTAAAATCTTCATCCAAACACTTCTTCAACATCAAATTCTGTAGATCAAGGCTTTGGAGTGTGGTTCCCGAAGTTAATTTGAAGCATTTTCAGATTTTAAAGTGGTAAACTCTTGTTCCACCGTTGTTGTGCTTTATTCACCTTCCACAATGTGATCTCTTGTTGATTCTTGTTGCTTGATCTTTGGATATCGCGAATTGTGTTTTATTTGTGTTATTTTCTGTTGTTTTACTTGATTTTCCGTGCTCAATTGCATTCATGATCATGAGGTGTTTGAAGAAATGATTGAATCATGAATGCTGATTTTTTTTTCATATTTTTTTGTTGTCCTGCCAGTGTTAATTGATTAACCAAATTTGTACATGAAATGGTTAATCGGTTAACACAAGTCAGAATGTGTTCTTTGGCTTGTTTTGGGACTGATTTGGTTCATTTTCTTCCTTCTTCCATTTCCTTTTGTTTTGCCTTGAATTGTGATGTTTGTTGATCAAATTTCTCTTCAAATCTATATTTAAGTGGATCATTGGATTCATTTTAGGTACTTTGAATTATTGATAGGTTTAGTGCTTTAATCCACCAAGAAGAGTGATAGAACTTGAAGATTGAATGACTCAAATGTTGTGATTCAATTTGGCTTCCCTTCTCCCCTCTTCTCTTTTTTTTCTTCTTCTTTTGATAAATGAAAATCTTCAATATCATTGGAACTTGTTTCAAGTTCTTGATGAAAATGAGATTGTTACCTAATTTCGTTTCATGTGGTATT